CAGCCAGAAGAGGGAGAAGTGGGATTTAAGGAGGTGATTCTTGATTGGATGGGGAGCAAATGTAAAGTTCAAAGCATACAGCTGTGAGAAAGAGAAGGAGTGAAAGGTCAACAGACTGCATTCGGTGGTTTGTGGAGCTGCACTCAATGAGAGTTGACAACCAGCAGCTGCACAGTGACAAGGAGATTTACCAAGGCAAAGGTCTGCACCACTCAACGATGAGATACTATTCAGCTGTCTACTCGCTGAAAGTGCACTAAGAGTCCTGCCATCGTGCACAGATTTCATATTCATATCATAAGTAGGAAGAAGAGATGTTACTTCTAAGCCAAGTCAAAACAAGGAAAGGCAAAAATACACCTTCCAGCCTCTATAAAACTCAGTTAACATGTCATATCCTGCTCGGTTAAACCTGACAAAATAAATGCCGCTACGCTTATGAGGGGGAAAAAAACGGATTGAAAGGAGAGTTCCTGGTTTGGGTTCAGTGGGTGGTGATGGGACGCTTTGAAAGGGAGCACTTAACGTCTGGAGAAACTGATATGGAAGAGGATGTGTGACTGACGTCGGACACAGGAACGCAAACAATCGCTGCATGACAGCAGCGCTCGTTGCTTTGTGAGAAACCGGCGGAGGGCAATCCATCAAAAGTCAGTTGCTGTGAGTATTGGTCTCACATTACATAACAAAAATCAACATTTATAATTATGCTACATCAGAAAATGGCAGCATTAAATCTTACTCAGATTCAATTTTGCAGCCTAAAAAACCTGTTTCTTCATTTTCACCAAGAACATTAATAATTTGCCTTGGAAGTAAAAAATAACATTCATTTCATGACCTTCAAAAGAAGTATAATTACCTTTTCTCTCTAAACCCCGCCAACCCCCCCGCCCCCCGACATTCTCACTTCCATGAGCTAACTGACACATTCCTCCAAGTCCCGCTGAAAAGACTTCATTTGGGCTCCACGTCTTACTCTGCCCCAAGTCAACGAGCTCCATCTGCCACAAAAACCTCACAAGAACAAAACACCCTCCCAGAGAAAAGAAAGAGAAGAGAGCAGAATGACACACAGTGACTGGAGGGGAGGGGGGGGGGGCAGAAGTAGAAGAAGGGGGGTAATACGTTCAAAGGCCATCTTTCTCTCTTGTACTCTTATTTATTCACTCGGTGGCACGTTGGCCCCTGGGGGGGGAGGGGGGTTGGTTGTCATTGGTACTATTCACCTGTCAATCACAGTGTCACGGGATCTGATGGGTTCGGGGCAGGAACCCCCCCCGCCAAGAAGTGCAGCTTGGGATAAAGTTACCACCTAAAATGAAACAATAAAACAACATTCACTGACGTTTTCTGCCCCAAAACTCCGCTTTCAAGTGGAGATGAATAATCAACTCTGTATTTTGCCAAAAGTGCAGTTTGTTGGTTTCTGATTCTCAGTCATGCAGTATGTTTCAGCTCTAATGCAGTGAACTAAGTAATGTTCAGAACTACAGAACTACATATTAATTGTAGTTATTGTTATTAACGTTATTATCTCTACATAGATTCTACATAAAAACAATCTGGATTAAGATTTCACATCCTTTCACAAACCTTATTGAATGTATGTGATGCTTCAGTGATCTCGACTGGCATTTATGGTTTGAAAATGTATTTTTCAATCAAAACCTGCAGTTAGGTGAATACTCTGAGGATATACATTCCGGCCGTATTGATTCCAAGTAACAAAGCAAAGCAATAACAACCCCCTCCTGGACACGGTATAGAATAACACTGCAGAAAGTATCGGGGGGGCACAATAAGGGCTCTGAAACAGGAGACAGATTTCCGCAATCAAACGCAGGTGGTCCGCCGTCCCACGTTATTCATGTAAAGTCACTTTTTCTCTCCAAGGCTTCAGCAATCAAACAAAGGAATGTACTGTAAACTATGCTGGAGCCCGTTGCCCCGGAGACAGATTGATTCAGCGCGCAGAGCCGATGGAGGTGATGGGGGCTCCTGCAGTGGTGAGAGAGCTGGTGAGAGTCAAGCACCTGAGCTCTTACACTGCAGATGTGTGTTTCTACATTAAACAAAATACTAATGACCTCAAAGAAAATACTGCAATATGCGGTCAATCGATAAATCAGTCAGTCAGCCATGAGACCAGCCAGCCATGTTACTGTTTCACTGCTTATTAACATAACATAACGGACCAACGCGAACGTCCTCGCAGTAACCGGAGAGCCTCGAGGCGGCATGAGGGAACGCCAGGGGCCCTCAGCGTGAAAAGCAGCCAGTCAGGCCCGGCCTGAGCCGAACAGACCACTACTCACTCCGTCCACGGCCCCTCTCAGCGGGATCCGGCCATCTGGACTCATTTCTGCTCTGACAAGGTGGCTCTCAAGGCCCTTCTGTATGAGGGCTGCATTCACACAGGGCTCCAGGAATGTGCTTGTCCGGGGGAGAACTAAGCTGATTTAAGGGATGGCGGCTCAACGGGATATATATCTTTTCACCCTTTTCACTGGAGCATGTCATTTAATCAACATCTGTATTTCATTTTTAGTGCCCTGGTCCATCTGAGGTTCAGTCTGTTAGATTTTAGCCACAAAAATAGGCTTCAAATCACTCCGTTAAATGCCTGTTGTTGTGTCATCTAGGCTACAAACACAAGATATGTAATTTATTTCATAAAAAAATATAACATATTCTATAACTCCCTTAAACTCCAAATAGTACAATCCGGATAGTCATTTAATTTTTTCTTGGTTCTCTAATAAAAACATCTGATTTTACCACCCAGAGATGTCTGTTTATCCTTTCTCACTATTTGTTATTTGTCAGTTCATCCCATAAATGTGAATGTGCAAAAAGAGTTGTAAATCTAGACATTTTGTCTGAAACAATCCCCTGACTTTCCAGAGTTTGGTTAAGATACCCCAGAGGGATCCACACCAGACTGGGCTGTAAATCCAGGCAGGACCTCACTGGAGTATTATTTCCATTCCCGCGCCTGCAACAACAGCTCAAACCTATTAGCCGTTCAGTTACGGTACTAAAACCCTGAAAGAGCCAACAGCAACTGGTCAGAGGTTATAATAGTGTGCAGCCTTAAAGAGGGTTTACAAGTTATACATGATCATATTAATGTTAAATACATAATGTAGTGATGCTTAGTATGGTTCAAATGGAATGAATAAGTATTGATAAAAGCAGGAGAGAATCCTTTAATCAACCCCAAAATGTCTGGACCAGAATCCATTGATAAACAATTAGTTTACACTTTGCTTGTAAATCTCCTTTCTTTATTATGTTTGGATGCTTTTAATGGTTTTATGTGAAGCACTTTTAATTGCCTTGTTGTTGAAATGTGCAATACAAATAAAATTGCCTCGCCTTATTTGCGTAAATTGCCGACTTGATAAATTGGAGGGTAAAGCCTATTAATGACTATTGGCTATTTATAAAGGCAACTTATGAAACCAAAAACGTTCCTTATTAGCAAATGTAAAGCGCCGGCACTGTACAAATATTCATCTTATAGGATTAAAATGAAAGAGTGGCCCATTTTAAACAAGGGTGTGTGAGCAAAGACAGAAAATGCTATTTAATTGTGGCGATGTTCAACCCAGTGGAAAACAGCAGCATTCCACTTATGTTTTCTCAACTGAGAACCTGCAGTTCCCATCGCCTACATTTATGCACTTAAATGAGAGTTCGATGGGAGTCCTATGTGGCCCAATTGACCAAACATGGATGCATAAGACAAGATTCCTGGTCCGTCTGACGGCCTGATCATTAAGCTCCTTTTCTGGATATGATAGACGAAACATTCATTGCCTGCCAGCCTTTTAACAAAAACAGCTTTTAATCACATCCCCAGGCCCCCCTGCCGTGTCTTCGTTGAAAATGAAATGGAGATATTCATTCTCAGAACTGGGACACACAGGGACATGTGCTGCTATTACTGTTGGCATGCCAGAATCTGTGATGCATTTTATGTTACTGTTGTAATGAATGCTACAGTAATGTTACGTGATCCTGCTTTAAGCATGAGATGGTATCAGACATGCTCCCATGTGTTTTCCAGCATAACTCCATTCACATAGTTGACTGGGAGCAGGAGCAGACTCGGCAGTCCAATACAAGCAGGCAGCGCCACCTGGTGGTTTGTTACAAACCCAGTGTGCAGTACTGGTGGGGGGAAAAAAGAACATTGGGGATTTCAATTGGCTGAAGTGGAGCTGTCAATCAAATTCACCACAGGGTGTTTTCTTTTAGGAGTTTAGGAGGTTGTGAGGTAAAAAATAAAAATGCTAAATAATTTAGTAATGCTACGTTTTTGATCTTGTTTCTTGTACTATGTATCTTGTTTCAACTTTCAATATGCTGCTGTAAATCCTGTGAATTAATGCCAGTAAAATCCTGTGATTGATAAAGGATTATTTGATCTGATCTTATTCATAGAATAACTAAACGTGTCAGCAACCAAATGTACTAACAGAAAATTCTATGAGACTAAATGTATCTAGTTTGTATACGCCTAATATTATATTCGTGGAATATTGTTTTCTATACCTCAAGCTGCATTTTAATGGTGTTACAGATGTATTGCACAGATGTAATTTTTCATATTCTATGTTGATGAGATATTGTAACATGTGATTATTGTAGAAGTAACACGCTACCAATAATGGCAATAAATAAATGTAAAGTAAAAAAAGATAATTCTTCTTTTGGTCCAAAACGGAATGGAATAGAGCATAAACATAAAGTAGCACCACAAAAATGTTATATAATATGCTCCTTAAAAACACGTTTTTTAAAAATGCTGAGATTTCTTTTCTTCAACGGAATGCATATTTTCTTCAAATGACAACGATGTAAACCCCGTGCGTGGTGAGGCGAGTGTCGTCCCCCGCGGACGCCCGTGGGTGGCGGGCCTGTTCCGGACCGCCGGACGGACTGCGCTCTGATTGGTCGGCGGCGTGCGCGTCCCCGTCGTCTCCTCCCGGTTTTTTTTCCCTGGCATGACCTTTTCCCTTGGCAACCACTTCCTTCCTCCGAGCATCCACGGCCATCTTTAATGTCATTCGCGAGCAAAGTTGTTTCGCTCGTGTCAACGCGCCGGGCGACACATTTGCGCACAAACGGCGTCCTCGGCGCCGCGTGCACGCGAGCCTCCCTGCGACGTGCGCCGAACCAGAGCCGAGCAGCGGCGCGGCGCGCTGTCCGCCGAGATTAAGTAAACACCGACAGCGTACGTGCACATTGTTCAGTCCTGGGGCGTCTGGCGCACCATCGGGCACGTTTTCCGTGCGATGTCTGGCTGCTGTTGTTGTTTTTTGTTTTTCTCCCTGCGCAATAATCTTCATAAAGACGCGAAAGCTTAACTGTGTACACCTGTGTAGAAACTAACGTGTTGCGTTTTGTACCGTGGGAATAATGTGCTCCCGAAAGAGACCGCAGGTGTTGCGCTAGAATCACGGGGGGGGGGGGGAACAAATATTAATGCTACTTCGTTTATGTTTGTCATTAACTGGCGTCTCATTCACGGCAGGATGAGAAAGAAGCAGACTGCCAAACAGAGGAAGACTGAGGAGACTCCGGTTGTCCAGGACTTTGTGGTAGAAAAAATAATTCGCCGCAGAATCTTTGACGGGAGAGCGGAGTACTTCCTCAAGTGGAAAGGTTTCACTGAGTGAGAGAGATTTGCGTTCTCACATTGCGTGATTGTCATTGTTTCGCTTCTGCTCGACATTCAAGCGTATTCTCCCTTTTGTGTATTATTATTTTTTTTTTTACAGTGCAGAGAACACGTGGGAACCAGAGGACAATCTGGACTGCCCCGAGCTCATTGACGAGTTCCTGAGAAACACTCACTTCCCGGAGGGGAATGAGGAAGATCAACGAGCCGAGCGACAGTTAATTCCCAAAGAAGAAATGACCGAGCAGGAGACGGAAATTGTGAGTGTGTGATAAATGCCGTGGCAGTGTGTGTTTGTTCTTTCCATGTTATTCACACAACTTCTGCTCCCAAATCTGTAAAATACCTATTGGATGCTATTTATATAGAGCATTATTAAGTAATCCAGGAAACTTTATATCACAACAGAAACTGCTCTGGATTTGACTGAAAACATGTGACTATTTTGCAAGATTTGGTTCCTTGTTTTTTGGGGAGGGTTTTCAAGGCCGATTGTGACACTAACTGGCATGTGGAGGTGGCTCGTTTCACAATGCTCCTGGAACTGAAATCTCTCTCTGAACAGGTCTGCTCCTTGTTTGTCCCTGACGTTCTCTTTGCAGTCCTGCATGCAGCCTCAGCAGCAGCAGCCTCAAACTGTGCAGAGCAACAGCGAGCCGGGCGACAGGCAGTCGGACACCCCGACCGACCTCAGCGCTTACCGGGAGCCTGAATGCATCATCGGCTCCACGGACAGACAGGGCGAGCTCATGTTCCTCGTCAAATGGTAACTCCACCACTTCCTCTTCTCCTTGTCCTTGAGTGAACGCCAGGGGCTCGGTAGATGTTTGTCTGATGGTGACAGCTGCAAACTGCATGTTCAGTCCTCAGGAAGGAGGATGGAGCGTCTGGTGTTGGGTTTTTTTTTGGTAGGCGTCTCATCTTGTTGTGCAGAGAGAATGTCATGAAAATAGATAATTAACAGAGGAAACAAACTCAGACGTCGGACTGTCAAACACACGTATTTCAACGTGCTTTACACAAGGACAACGATTTGATTCTTATTTGAACATTTGAAACACAATAAACTGACAATATATCAAAATACAGTAAAATTGGATAAAATATTAAATACTAAAGGCTATTTTTCAGTCTTCTTACTCCTTTGTTCAAAATGACCTTCTGAAAACTCGCGTGACTTTGTGACGCTGCTGAAACATTAAAGGCTGCCGTCCTAATGGCGTGTGTACCCTTACAGGAAGAACTCCAGCGATGTGGCGCTGCTGCCGGCCCGCGAGGCCAGCGCCAGGTGCCCCCAGGTGGTCATCGACTTCTACGAGAAGAAGCTGACGTGGCACTGCGGCGAGGAGGAGCAGTGAGACGCGGCGCAGAGGCGAACTGACGAGCGGCCTGACGCTCGCTTCAACCTCCATCAAGTGTCCTCCTTCAGCCGACCTCAGAGGCACGGCGAGTGAAAAATCACGCCGCGGGTAGAATTCCCCATCCTGGCAGGTGCAAGGTCCTCGGCGGGGATTTTGGCTTTTAGTGCACTCTGCCCCCCCCCCCCCCCCCCTGCGGTGCTCAATGACTGAAACTAACCCTGTTGTGTAGTGCAGCTGATTTGAGATCAGATTAACTTGTAGCAGCAGCTCTGGTCTCGCGTAAGCAGACTCAAACACTGTGGTCATGTGTTGTTGTTTTTTGGTTGGTTTTGATGTAATATTTCCGAGTCAGATTTATTCCTACATGTAGCTTTTAGTCAGAGGTGAAGATTGTTGAACTGTTTTAACTTTTGTTGTTTTATCTTGTTGTGTGTGTTTTATTGTCACAGCTGTTACTGTCACGTGGAGAAATCACATTTGTTTCATGTGGAACATTATAAGTGCCCACCAGAAATGTCCTCACTTCTAATCAGTCATGTAATCTAATCATGGTTACACAAAGTCCTGGCACAATTGAAAAAATTGGGGAAAAAAATGTTGATTTGCACCTTTCATGAAAAATGCATTGTTAAATTGATCCCATTATGAGAGTGTACAAACGGCATTGTCTTGTAGTCATTATACAGGTGTGTGCACATGGAACCTGTATTTTAACTGCCCCGTCCACTGAGACATGTCTCTCATAACTGTTACGGGACACTCGGCTGAAGCATAAACCTTCTGAAAACACTCCTCCTACTGAACTACTGTAGCTGTTGACCATCGATCTGTGAATAAAGGAAACGTTTTAATGAAACCTTTTTTAGTACGGTCACATTTGTCATGTGTTAAATGATTTGGTATGAACGTCAAATTAACAAATTATCCATTTAAAAATACTAATGAAGGCACTGTGTTTTTTTTTTCACAGTGTAAAGGACTCCATAAGAAATACATTCCATGTTGTTGTGGAGACTTTTGTTTTATGACTTCATGGTTGGGAAGAAGATCGTATCTACATCTTGTGACTTTATTTTGGAACCTTTGCTCCTAATCAATAAAGGTTGGAAAAAAGGCACTTGTTATGGAGAGAACATTTGTGACTCAGGTAGGTCTAAAGTTATACTTTAACTCTTAAGTTGACTCTTAAGTTAAAGTATAACTATATACTTTAACTTAAGTTTTAGTCATTAAAAGACCTTGAATGACACAAGTTGGGCTCAGAAGCCTTACTGTAGTCAGGTTCCAGGCTAAATAAAACACTTGTTTTTTGTCTCAAGCAACAAAAGCATATTTGGTGCAATTTTCCGATCTTCCTCTGTTTGTCATTGAACTTCCTCTATCTGTCAATAAAACATTTCCTCTTTTCCACAACGCAGTCAGTTCAGTGTCTCTCCTGCCTTCTCTATGCCGCAGGTGGTCAGTGTCTGGGTGCGGGACCCTCGGATACAAAAGAATGACTTTTGGCACGCCTACATAGACTACGAAATTTGTTTGCAGGTGAGTAAAATGAGAAAATAAGATTCTCTCTACATTCAGCGTTTACTGTGATGTGCGTCCCACTCGTGTCCTGTTCCAGACCGACAGCGTGTGCTTTACCAAGAAGATCTCGACCGTGCGAAGGAGGTACAGTGAGTTCGTATGGCTCAGGCAGAAACTACAGGCAAACTCACAGCTAATGTAAGTCAATCTCACACGCTTTAGGGTTTCCCACGATAACAGCTACCTGCACTTCGATTCGCGTCATCTTCAAGGTGTATTTATGTTATTTTTCTCAGGGCGCGGCTTCCAGAGCTGCCCCCAAAGAACCCCTTCTTCAGCCTGAACAGCAGCCGACAGATCACTGAGCGGATGAAAGGGCTCCAGAAGTTTTTGGAACAGTAAGAACAACAGGCAGCGTTCTCACAAGCACTCCAATGTACTGACCCCCCCCCCCCTTGACCCCCAGGATCCTGCAGAACCCTCTGCTGCTGTCAGACAGCTGCCTGCATCTTTTCCTGCAGTCGAGGCTGAGCGTGTCCAAGATGCAGGCCTGTGCTGCCGGACAGACCCTCTACTCTGTGGCCCAGGCGGTGCAGCGCTGCGGCCTGAGGCGATTCCGCTCTGAAGAGGATATGCAGAAGGACCCCAGCATGTCTTGTGACTCTGACTCAGACAGGTTTGTAACATTCCTCCACTACTAAAGTTCATAAGGCCAGCGAGCTTTTATGTACTGACTCACTGCTTTCAGGGACAGATTACGTGACAACTTTGTTGTCCAAATTGAGAAATTGTATTTACTTCCCTTCCCCTTTTCCTTGTGTCTTTTATTACAGCTCAGAGTGTACAGATCCAGAGCTTCGAAATAAAGATTTTCCAACAAACAAAGCAGACGGTGCAGCTTCGTTCATGGGGACCAGCCAGGAGGAAACCATCAGCTGCCCGTGTGGTTCTACATGAGAACGTCGTTTGACTGGACCTGTGAAAAATACATTTGCCTGTTACCCCGTCATACTCCAAAGTACTTTAAGTATTTCACTTATTCTATTCTCATTGGGACGTTTCAGTTTGAACCATGTACAGTCTGTTCGTAGCTAAAAGGTTGTAGCAACAACTTCCCTGGAGATGGCAGTGTTGGTACATCCATCTGTTTGTATAACTACTTACCCCATGAGCACACACATCGCAACTGTACATATTGACTTCATAAACAAGCCCAGCAGAAGCGTCTCTAATTATGGTCATTCACAAGGTGTATTGTTACCAATTGTGTCCAGATTAAAAATCCTCAAGCAGTGACGGCCTGATGTCTCTTCCTGTGACAGACCTCCCTCTTCTAATGAACTGAAAGGTGTGGGGAGCTCTTCATCTTGTGTTTAGCAGTACGATGTGTTTTGGGGTCCCCGCAGAGCCCCCTGACTGCCCCCCTGTCAGGTGCGTGGCTGGTAGGACGTCCCGTAGGGTCCCAATGGACTCGCTCCTGTCTGAGAGGGCCACGAAGTAGAAAGGCTACATTGCTCGCTGCTGACCCAGGTGCACTGAGAAGCCACTCTTCCTACCAGTCTCTCTCTCTCTCGCTATGTACTTGTATGAGTCTGCATGTCTGTGCTGAATAAATACATTGGTGAGCAGCAGCCTTCTCATGCAGATGTGCATGTTGCTTTATATATCAAACAAGGTTAAGGCCTCCAATAATTTAGGTGTGTTTTCTGAATGTAGCAAATCAAACGTGCAAACGGCGCCACGGCAACCGAAGCTGTTTTTAAAATCCACATTAGAATAAAATATCACCAAAGCAGACCACTTGGTCTTCTAAACATCAACGCCACAGCGGCCGCAGCAACAACTCACATGTTTAGAGAAAATGGGAGACTGGCGGCACACACGCAACTGCGTTGATGTGTTGAAGTGTTGATGTCTGGTGGAGTCTACTGTTCATATTTTATCCTTTAGTTTAGTTGATTGTGATGTCTTAAAGTGCTTAAAGTAACGTCTCATTTCCAGAGTATATATGTACAGTATATATATACTATACATATGTACTCTGGAAACACACATATATCAGTATATGTTATCTGGAACCTTTCCTGTAGCATCTTAAATAGCTTGTTATTCCCATGTTAATCCCATGGATTGAAATGTTTAATCTATGTGTTTCAGTCTGACCTGTATGCTGTTGACTCTGCTTTTAATGGCCTGTGACTCTGGTCCACTGGCTGTTAACTCTGAGCCACAGTAGCCCAGTCGCATTTAAACCCATCAGATCGACTGGGTACCAGCTCTCTGCTCCTTGTTGTGTGACCCCAGTAAGGTCAAACGATGTAGAAACATTGGGAGTGAGTGACATTACTCTGTTTCAGAAAAACACAAGCTCAAAATAACTCTTTCATTATTTCCACAAATTCCGTACCTCAGTTTAATGTATGCTTATTTTATTACGCATAAAGCAGTAGAAAGGAAAAGGCCCCTCTGGGAGGTGCCCATCTGCCTCCAGTCAGCATGTCTTTCTGCAGCGACAGCTCAAATAAACCCCACCTCATCTCTGTGATTTCACGCTTGACTTTTTATTTCCTCTGTTGAGTAATTAAAACAAAATCACAAAAAGCTAAAATTCCTCGAAACAATTTCATACCGTGGAAGGAACAACATTTTTAAATTTGAATGTAACAAAATGAAATCCTAATCAGAATTAATTTACTGAGCAGACTGCCCACAGCCTAAAACAAATGCAAGTATTGATGGAGATATGCTCCAGTGGAGGCAAATTACAGATAAATCAGAAGCTGCTCATGCATTTTAAGTGCCACATTATACAGAATCCATTAGTAGCAATAGGAGTTCAGCACCACTTGCAATATTAAATCTCTTTGCCTGCAACTCAGTGTAACCAGGAAGGGTCAATATCAGAGAAGCACAGCTGCACCGCCGATAGATAAGACCTAAAAGAATGATGGGGCAGTTCTATATTAACAGTTATGTGATAACGGCGTGGGCTGGAGATACTGATGCTGAGCGTGTTTCACAGTCAACAATCGAATCAAATGCACCGAGGAGCAAGGTAAGTGATGTGGAAGGGTGGTTAATTGAATTGTTAATAACACACGCCTAGTGTCTGAACATTTTTCAAGGTTCCCCACATGTCATGCCAATACTGAGTGAGGATTGACCAAGGGCCACGAAAACCATGACATCCTTTGTTGTGTCTTTCTGTGTGTTCAAAACGGGTAGAAATATACTTTCCAATACTGTATTTTTTGTCTTTTGTTTGGAGCAGACAAACAGAAAAAAGGGCTTAATGTTTAAACAATGTCTGCGTATACTCACAAACATTAGACATAAGGTTATATTGAGCTCATACGAGCAGCGTAGGAACTGAGATGTGCATATAGTGTCGGATACCTTTACGGTCTACGATGCCTTTTGCTCTGAATTAGCGTCCTGGGAAAAGTGTATCACGAGATCGTGTGCGAGTAACAAGCCCTCCAGGCTGACGTCTCGACGAGGAGTCGGGTGGAGGAGGAGCTCTTAGGTCAGACTCAGCTGGGTGGATGCAGCGGGAGGACAATAGAAGGTGAAGAAACAAGGGGGTGGAGGGGTAGAAGGCACCGTCTCTTGAGGCCTCTGTGCTTTGCTGCCCGTGTGTGTAAATCAGCAGGAAGCTCACGGCTGCAATGAGGTAGAAAATAAAAAAAACATTAAAACGTCCGAGTGAAATAGGACGCAAGAAGAAATCTTTTATGACGAGTCTGAATTCTCCTTAGCCTGCAGTAGATCCACTGCGGGCATAGCTCATCTTCTCCAGACCGTCTATCATCCCAGTGTCTGCATAATGCCACAAATTACTCAAAAAACACACACCGCTATTCATGTAATGTATGTGTAATGAATATTGTAAATTCACATTATTATTTTCCAAGGTATAGGACTCACGTCAAACTCATTAATATGCACATGAAATTATGTGGTGGTCAAATACAAAATACAATGGACAGCAGTTTCGGTCTAGTTGTGGATCTTTCATCTTGGACTATTTTGATAAACAAAGGCATTGTTATCATATTTTTCCCATTCAGCCCATTTTTTTTTTACATTTTCTCACGCATAAGCTAATAATATGAGCATTAATAAAACAAGTTCAAGTACAGTACTTCTAAAACATCTTCAGGTCTTATAGAAGTTTCCATGCTTTGTTTGTTTACAACTTTGTAAAAATTCAATTTATTGTGGCTTTTTTTACACAAAACAGACAAATTAACAATTTGTCAAAGTGACATCAACATGATCTAAATGACTAAATATTTAAAATGAAAAATGAAAAAAATCCAAGTGTTTGTTTAAAACAAATGAATTCACCCCATATAATAGAACACACCTAAATCCCTGGCCAGTGGTTTTGAACAAGACATAAAATATTTACTCAGTATCATTGATGGGGGAAAAAAATGGATTCAATGAAAATCTCAAGATTTCAAAGTCAGATTTTGTACTCAGTTTGAAGCAACTATCCGTTGTCTTACAAGGCAAACACAATACCTACAGCAAGCTTTTTAAAGTTAAATGAGGCCGAGGTCAAATCATCTCTGAGAGAACTGCAAAGTACATCAATTAAAACTGCAACAGGATTTAAAGTACCTGAAGGGAAACATTCTTGACAATATCTGGGTTATTATCAGGGTTATTATCAGAAAAACTACAATAGTTCCTTTGAGCGGACTCTTCTCTGCACAGTAGCAGCCAGTGAAGCGCTCGCACCTTTTCCCTCTGGCTTTTTCAAATGAGAAAATGCAAAGGTGATTCAAACCAACAGGGAAGTGATACATGAATATATTGTATAACACTTTATACAGATGGTTGAAAAATATTCAACCACTAGCAAAACAGTGACCTAAAGATTCTTTTTGCCCTCATTTTATAAAGTAATTTATATTAAATGGTATATATAAAAAAAAAGTGTTTGACTATATTTAGAAATGCTTCTCCTCTGGTTGTTTAAAACTGAAATAATACTGAGCTTTGACGTCGTCAATAGTAACTCTGATGATGTCATCACACGCACTCCATCGGCATGGTCGCTCTGTGCAGACAAACTGTTCCTTGTGCAGCTCGGCCTGGGCCCTAAATTAGCTCAGGCTCAGTGACCTCAACACTAATGTGGCGTACAACCATGTGGTGATCAGTTTACACTGGGGTGGCAGACACAGAGGTGTAATAGGTACAGCGCGGAAGGAGATGTAATTACAGCATCTCTGAATGGAAGCTACCCTCCCAGACCATCCGGGGTCATTACTCACCTCACTAACCAGTAGAGTAAATCAGTGGCAGAGCTCCGGATGTTAGAGCCGCAGCCTGAGTGTAAACAGGGGTACGCAGGCTGGAGGCTTGTAAATAACCTGCGAGGGCGTGCGGTATGTTTATAGCAGGTGGACAAACACCTGTCACACTATTTAGTCTGATTTATCCCGAATGACTCGTCAGCACGTAGCTCTACCCCGTCGGTGACAGCCCGCATTGCCAACGCAGCGTCCTCGGACACGTGACCTTTTTGTCAGCAGGGATACGTACAGTGAGCGTGGGTCGACAACAACGGTTTCATCAAACAGAAGTATCAACCGTGATGGCGTTCAACGTATCGTCCTCCTGGGGAGGACAGAAAGGCAGAAACAGGCCACTGGTGTCTCCCGTCCGGCTCCTCAGACATCACTGTCTGCAGCTGGCAGCGGGTGATTAAGAAGAAGGAAGAGCAGACGCCGCTAACGTTGGAGAGTGGTGGGTGTGGTGGATGTAATAAATGACCTGTCCACACCTATATTTACAGGCCGACCACTAAACATGGTTTCCACCTCATAATATCACACATTATATATTGGAAAATCACTGAAAGGCATGAAAATCCAAGCCTCAGATTCCAGAAGTATTAATTTTCAGAGCGGCCTGTCATGATGTTCGTTAGCTTTCACTTAACACATTATGTCTCCTTCTCACAATGTCATAAGCCAGCTGAGGAAACCCTAATTTGTCAGCTGTCATGAGTTATGCTGACAGAAACTGACCTCAATTAAGAGTGACTTGCATTTAAAAAGTGTCTGTATAAGAATTTAAGATTTAGACGGGGTGGGTTTAATGGAATGCTGACAGCAAGTTGGAGAGGTAATACATTGTCTGCATAATGCCAGTGGATACCACATAAATAAGGCAGTGTTATTCCTTACAGAAACTCTACGTGAAGCTGTGGAGTGATCTACAGCTGAATGACCCGGGTAAAGAGCTGACGGCTTGATCAAGATTACTTCTCTAAAG